AAATAGTCTTATGTTGGTTTGTGTGCATTATCTTAGGACAGCTCTGCTTCTAATAATGAATATTTTCCTGTGGGTTTATAATTTCTGTAACAAGTAACTGACATATTGCTGAGGCGGGCGGATCACTTGAGATGAGGATTTGAGACCAGCCTGGCCAACATAGCGAAACCCCGTCTCTACTAAAAATAGTAAAAAAATTAGACCTGGTGGCAGGCACCTGTAATCCCAGCTACTCGGGAGGCTGAGGCAGGAGAATCACTTGAACCCAGGAGGCAGAGGTTGCAGTGAGCGAAGATCTCACCACTACATTCCAGCCTGGGCAATGAGTGAAAACTCTGTCTCAAAAAAAAAGGTTTTTTAGTTGCCCTTCAATAGTCTTTCTATTCTTAATCGTACAGGTTAGGTGAAAGCAATAATAGAAGAGTTACGATATTCCTTTGTTACTTGGGAGAATATTAATATGGATAATGGTGTTGCCTTAAGATCGACATTAATTTCAAATCAAGTACAGCAGTTCAGTGCGGTTTTTAGAATCACAGCATCATTCCTGTGTTGGATGTTGTGCTTTCCCCAAACAATTCCCAGCACTTTGGGAGGCCGAGGCGGGCAGATCACAAGGTCAGGAGATTGAGACCATCCTGGCCAACATGGGGAAACCCCCTCTCTACCAAAATACAAAAAATTAGCCAGGCATAGTGGTGCGCGCTCGTAGTACCAGCTACTCGGGAGGCTGAGGCAGGGGAATCGCTTGAACCCGGGAGGTGGAGATTGCAGTGAGCCAAGATTGTGCCACTGCATTCCAGCCTGGCAACAGAGCCAGACTCTGTCTCAAAAATATATATATAACAATTTTTTTTTGTTTTGCCAACTTTGAAATTCATAAAATATTCATAAATACATCTATTTCATATCTTTAAATGACTTAGGTTCCTTTTTGCCTTATATGCCAGGTTTTCTGGGTCTATTTTAGGAGTACGTAAACTATTCCTGCTAGATATTTCCCGAAGGATGCATGAAAAGTTTATTATACTACAAAGTCGTATGGGAAGATGATCTTTCCGTGGTGTCAGCAAAGCTGCTGGCAAGAATCTACACTCCGCGACCTCTGTCTGCTCTTCCTGCACACGCTACCCCACTCCCGAAATGACCCAGAAACGTCTGCTCTTCCTGCACACGTTACCCTACTCCCGAAATGACCCAGAAACGCCATTTTAGCTTGTACTGTAGCTTAATAAAGCTACTGCTCTTCAGGTTTCCCTTCTATGACTTCTTGGCAGCATCATTAAGAACTCTGTCTTTGAAACTCTCTCCTTCGACTCCGAAAGACTTGTCTCTGGGTTTTCTTCGTCTCAGTTCTTCTGCCTGACTCTTGATTATTGGGGTTTCCGAGGACTCCATTTTTGGGCCTTTTATTTTAACACACTTAACCTTGGGTGATCTGATGTTTCCGCAAGTCTTTAATACCTGTAAGCTGATGACATGCAACTTCTTCAACTCCAGGCCGGATGTCACTTCAGAGTTATAAACCATATATCCAGTTCCCTAAGTGGTCATTGCATAAGCTCCTTACCCTCTAAAATTTAACATGATTTCCCTCCTTTAGTCTCTTCCTACTGTATTCCATTTATCTGGTGGCACCCCCTGGAAACCTGAAATTCATCTTTAGTTCCTCCACTTAGACTTCATGTCCAGTTTGGTTACAAAGTCCTGTCAGTTCTGCACAGTGACTCTTGCTCCCACTGCCCCTGCCTTGGTTTAAAGTTCCATGCTTGTCCAACCCATGGCCCACGGGCTGCATGCCACCCAGGATGGCTTTAATGCGACCCAACACGAATTTGTAAACCTCCTTAAAACGTGTGGGAATTTTTTGCAATTTTTTTGTTTGTTTTGTTTTGTTTTAGCTCACCAGCTATTACTAGTGCATTTTATATGTGGCCCAAGACAATTCTTCCAGTGTGGCCCACGGAAGTCAAAAGATTGGACACCCCTGACTTAAACCTTCCTTGTGTGTTCGGGTCACAGCAGCAGGTTCCTGCCTAGACATGCCCGTTTGTCCCAATCCACTTAGCACAGCTCCCAACTAATTTAAGATCTGTTACCCTCCTTAAAATTCGCTTATGGCCGGGCGCGGTGGCTCACGCCTGTAATCCCAGCTCTCAGGGAGGCAGAGGCGGGAGGATAGCTTGAGCCCAGGAGTTTGAGACCTGCCTGGGTAATACAGCGAGACCCCGTTCTCCACAAAAAGGAAAAAAAAAATCGCTTATGGCACCTTAGACAATTTCATCTTCATTTTAAATCACAAAGCCTCAGCACCTGCCTGCCCTGATAAGGCACCCTAAGCTGCAGCCATCCCAAACGATTTGGAATTAGTGAAATATTGTTCATTTGCTCAGTGAATATGTAGTGAACACACTTATGTGCTTGGCACTATAGGAGACAGTGGATGTTCAGTGATGGGGGAAAACGACTGTAGTCTACTGTGGTCTTATGGGAGAGTTAAAACAACAAACCTGTAAATAAGTGAGATACTAGGAGTAGTTGGCACTGAATGTTCTTTTGGGATGGCCACGTAAGCCCTCAGTTTGGAAAGGGCAGTGGAAGACAAGACTCGAGCTTTCCGGATCGGATGCGACTCTACCCTGTGGTCTGCAGGACAGGCAGGCATGTATGCCCAAGGCAGCTCTGGAAGCCACGAGAAGCGTCTCTGAAATAAGCCGTGTCTGCCACTGCCCTGTGCGGTCACTTATTTTTGATGAAAAACCAGTATCTTAACCAATAGAATCAGAAACTTATATTCTGCTCGGAAAATAATGGCATCTAAGTAGAAAACTAAAAATTCTTAATTCAGGCCGGACACAGTGGCTCATGCCTGTAATCCCAGCACTTTGGGAGGCAGAGGCGGGCGGGTTTACCTGAGGTCAGAAGTTTGAGACCAGCCTGGCTGACATGGTGAAACCCCATCTCTACTAAAAAATACAAAAATTAGCCGGACATAGTGGTGCACGCCTATAATCCCAGCTACTCATGGGGCTGAGGCAGGAGAATCGCTTGAACCTGGGAGCTAGCAGTTGCAGTAAGCTGAGATTGCGCCATTGCACTCCAGCCTGGGCGACAAGAATGAGACTCCATCTAAAAAAAAAAAAAAAAAAATTCTTAATTCCAATGCCCCCAGGATGACTTGATTTTAAAGCCAACAAATCTGCTTCAGTCTAACTTTGTGTGGAGCAAGTGGTAGAGACATTTACTCCTTTCCAGATACAGGTGGTTCTCCATATTCGTGGGTTCCCCATTTGACATTTGTGGGTTCAACCTACGACAGATCAAAAGAAAACATAATACCACAATAAAAAGTAATACAAATAAAAAACATAGTATAGGCCAGACACGGTGGCTCATGCCTATAATCCCAGCACTTTGGGAGGCCGAGGTGGGCAGATCACTTGCCGTCAGGAGTTCGAGACCAGCCTGGCCAACATGGTGAAATCCTGCAGGTCTCTACTAAAAATACAGAAGTTAACGGGGCGCGGGGGCGCCTGTAATTCCAACTACTTGGGACACTGAAGCACGAGAATCACTTGAACCTGGGAGGCGGAGGTTGCAGTGAACCGAGATCGCACCACTGCATTCCAGCCCAAGCGACAGAGCAAGACTCCATCTCAAAAAATAAAAATTAAATAAATAAATAAATAAATACAGGGTTGGGGGAGTCACTCAGTATCGTTTTCGGTTCAGTGTACCAAGAAGCACAAGGAAAAGCGTCTTTTCCCACCCTGTGGAACTCGAGCAATGATCACAGATTGCAAACGCGGAAAAATGGACGAAGCAGTTTATCCACGTAAGGATCCAGATTTGTGCGCTGAGTTTTCCATGACTGTCCTGCCCTTTCTCCAACAGCGAAAAGAACGGCTCTTTTCTAGCCAGGATTGGAGGTGGGCGCTGGTGAGCAGGCGCAAAGTGGGCGTCGTATTGCAGCCTACGGGCGTTACCGTCTCAGTGCAGTGTCTCATGAACCGATGCTCGTGGAACGCAGGCAATACGAAGAAAATTACATAAATGCAAAGAAACCACGCCGCCGGAGTGTCTTTGGATGAAGTGACTAAAGCACCTGAATAATTAATATTAATTTGCTTGTGTTTCTGATAGTCTTAATGGACTTTGAGGAAGTTTGAATAAAAATGACAGGTAATGCGTATCTGTTTGAGCAACAATCTGCTAAGCCGGAGTTCGACATGAATAATTTTAGCCGAACATGAGTGAGGGAAGCTCAGCGGTCTCTGAGCTCTGCGAGTACCCAGCATCGCCCTCCGCGTCGGGCTGGGTCTGCAGAGCCGGCCCGAACCCGGCCGCCCCCACGGCCTGCACCTGCGCTCCCCTCAGTATTCCCTGAGGCCGGGCCGGGGCTTCGCCCGCGGCTAACGCCTAGCGGTGATTTCATGCGAGGGGAGCATCTGCGCAGGGCGATCGAGAAAGTTCTCCTGCTGGCTGTGGAGTCGTCCTGCCCGAGAGGCGCCCGCACCAGCGGGTCTGGGCCCGCAGCCGTGTCGAGTGGGTCTCCGGTGTCTTACGGGAAGCTCCGAGAGCCCAGTCCGCGGCCACGCATCCGCCCACGGCTCCCCTGGAGGCACAGGCCCCAGCTCACTTCCCCACTCAAAACGCCGCGGGGGCTGGTGCCGTCCGCAGCCTCCGGTCGGGAACGGCGCAGGGAAGCGGGTTACAGGAAAGGGGCCGCCTCGGAGCGGGGTGGCGCAGCCCCAGGGCACGGCCCTCAGCCCGCTCAGGGGCCCCGACGGCGCCAGCACCGCGCGCACAGCACGCCGCGCACGCCACGCCGCCCGCGCACGCCACGCCGCCCGCGCACGCCACGCCGCCCGCGCACGCCACGCCGCCCGCGCACGCCACGCCGCCCGCGCACGCCACGCCGCCCGCGCACGCCACGCCGCCCGCGCACGCCACGCCGCCCGCGCACGCCACGCCGCCCGCGCACGCCACGCCGCCCGCGCACGCCACGCCGCGCCGTGGTCCCTGCTTTAGAAAAGTCCCAGGAAACGGCGAGGAGGAAGAAACCTTGGAAGCAGCGCCGTGAACGGTTCCCCACCCGAAGGAAGAGGCTCGTTCCCTTTTGGCTCCAGGACTATTCGGGGCGGGCCTGCTGCCCTGAAACCAGCTCCATCTCCCGAAGACCGAAAGCCGGGGTGTCGCTGGGACCAGGGGCGAGACGTCGAACACGTGGGGAGGATGAGAAGGCGCTGGAGACGGAGGGTGTGGTCGCGGATGGGAATGTACTGAAGCCACTGAGCTGTGCGAGTAAAAATGGTTGACAGTAAGTTTTATGTATATTTTACCACAATTTTGTGTGTGTGTGTGTGTAAAAGTTCTGTTTATCTGTACAATGGGAATAATATTGGTACCTATAGTTCGCAGGGTTGTTGAGAGGAAGAAATAAGATCTCAAGTGCTTATCACAGCATCTAGCGCCTGAATACGCAGGGATAGTAATACAATGAGCACGTGAAGAATGTGCTATTTATATTAACAAAAACTACATGAGGCCGTCCCTCAGCCAGGCAGCCAAACTTAGCACCCAGGCAGTGAGCCATGTGGGTGGTGTGTGCTTTCTCATGGGTGTGAAAAGAACGCCTTACCTCTATGGTCTCCCTCCCCGAACACAAAACCCCATCTAACCGTGAGAAAAACACCGGACACATCCCCGCTTAGAGGATAGCGGGCCAGGCCTCCTCAAAACTGACAGGCTCGTCAGCAACAAGGAAAGTGTGAGGAGTCTCAGCTCAGGAGGAGCCTACGGAGACGAAATACAACCACCAACTGCAACGGGCGTCCTCGGTGAGCTCCAGCCCAGAAAATGACATCAGGTTAAAAACTAAGGCCTGACGCGGTGGCTCACGCCTGTAATCCCAGCACTTTGGGAGGCCGAGGCGGGCAGCTCACGAGGTCAGGAGATCGAAACCATCCTGGCTAACACGGTGAAACCCCGTCTCTACTAAAAATATAAAAAATTAGCTGGGCGAGGTGGCAGCACCTGTAGTCCCAGCTACTCGGGAGGCTGACGCAGGAGAATGGCGTGAACCCGGGAGGCGGAGCTTGCAGTGAGCCGAGATCGCACCTCTGCACTCCAGCCTGGGCGACACAGCAAGACTCCATCTCAAAAACAAAACAAAGAGAAAAACTAAGGGAAGCTGAATAAATGGTGGGTTTTAGTTATACCAGTGGATCAGCATTAGTTCATTAATTGTGACAAATTTGCCATTCTAATGCAAGAGGAGAAACCGGGTGTGGGGCATAGAGGAACTCTGTTAGTTCCTCTATGTTTGCAATTGTTCTGTAAATCTACAACGAATCTAAAATTTAACAGTTACTAGAAAGAAAGAAAGGAAGACTGAAAAAACGATTCAAGAGGAAGTGATAATGTTGAAGACGGGGAAGAAACTGTGACATACAGATAATAGGAGTCCCTGAAGAAGAAATCCAAAGTGAACAGAAGACTGAAATTTGTAAATCAAGAAAAGTTTCCTCAAATAAAGTAATTTGAAACTACATGCTGAGAAACTTTATATATATTTATGTATTTTTAAGAGACAGGGTCTCGCTCTCTTGCCCAGGCTGGAGTACAGGGGCCCCTTCCAAGCTGCTCCCTGTGCCTGGCTCCCAGGCATCTCACAGGCACTTGGTGCTGGCAAAAGTAGTATTTCTTTTTTTTTCAAATGTAATTTATTTTTGTTTGTTTGTTTATTTATTATTTTATTTATTTTAGATGGAGTCTCGCTCTGTCTCCTAGGCTGGAGTGCAGTGGTGTGATCTCGGCTCACTGCAACCTTCACCTCCCAGGTTCAAGTGATTCTCCTACCTCAGCCTCCCGAGTAGCTGGGACTACAGGCGCCCACCACCACACCCAGCTAATTTTTGCATTTTTAGTAGTTACGGAGTTTTGCCATGTTGGCCAGGCTGGTCTTGAACTCCTGATCTCAGGTGATCTGCCTACTTTGGCCTCCAAAAGTGCTGGGATTACAGATGTGAGCCACTGCGCCTGGCCTCAAATGTAATTTAATTTGTTAAACTTACTGTGGAATGTTTCCAGTATACACAACGGTGTGGAGAATCGTGTCATGAACCCCGTGGGTTACCCCAGCTTCAAGCGTTTTCAACACTGCTCTTCTTGCAAACTTACCTCCAGGTGTCGTGTAATGTCCTACACATTAGTCCGATAAGGGCTCTTTACAACTTTGGCCTGGTGGCAATATCATTATCCCATTCAGCAAGATCCGTATTTATGCATTAACATCTTCTAACACCGGGTCTGTCTTCAGTTTTCCACAGTTATCTAAAAAATGTGTCTTTGCTGTTGATTTGCTTGGATAGGGATCCAAGTTTTGTCCCCCTAGTACATTTTCTGGAAATGGCAGCTGAGTGTCTGATCCTCTGTAACAGTGCCCTTTCCCTTTTGGCCCCCATGCTGCTTATTCCTGAGGAAAAACATCGGTCATTTGTCCTATAAAATCTCCCACAATTTGGATGTGGTGATGGTATCTTTGTGGTGACATTTGTCGGTCCCTCTGTCATCTATTCCCGGAAACGGATCACTATGTCCAGGTGCCCATTAGATTTCAGTGTGACGTTTGTGGCAGGAACCCTCCATGACTGGTGCTGTGCACTTTGGTGTCACATCCGGAGACACTTCATGTCTAGTTGTCCCACTTTTCATAAAACTAAGATTGATTGGTGGACGCAGTTGGTGTCTGACCCAGCCTCACGAAGCGCCACTTCACCCTCTCACCTGGTGGACTTCAGTAGCCATTGGTGATCATTGCCTCAATCTTTATTTCATTAGAGAAAGCAACATAGGAACTTTCTAGTTCCATTTCCCCCTGCATTTACTAGCCATGGTTTCTCTTTCTACAAACAATCTGTCTTGAGCCAGGCATGGTAGCTCACACCTGTAATCCCAACACTTTGGGAGGTCAAAGGTGAGAGAATCACTTGAGGCCAGGAGTTTGAGACCAGCCTGGGCAACGCAGAGAGACTCTTTCTCTACAAAACTAAAAACTTAGCTGGGCATGGTGGTGGCAGGCACTGTGATCCCAGCTACTTGGGAGGCTGAGGCAGGAGGATTTCTTGAGCCCAAAAGTTGAGACTGTAGTGATGATCAGACCACTGCACGCCAGCCTGGGCAACAGAGAGACCCTATGTGTAAAAATCAAAACGTACTTTCCTTCATCAACTACTAAGGTGTTCTGAAATATGGTTTATACTGTTGAAACAGATAGATAATGCTTGATTTTTTCCTTTTATTTATCAATTTTCAGACTAGTTAGGGTCCTAGAAAGCACCAGTGGCAACCAGTTATTTATTTATTTTTAATTTTTAATTTTTTTTTTGAGATGGAGTCTCGCTCTGTCACCAGGCTGGAGTGCAATTGCACAATCTCGGCTCACCACAACCTCCACCTCTCAGGTTCAAGCGATTCTCCTGCCTCAGCCTCCTGAGTAGCTGGGATTACTAGCATGTGCCACCACACCCGGCTAATTTTGTATTTTTAGTAGAGATGGGGTTCACCACGTTGGTCAGACTGGTCTTCAACTCCCGACCTCAAGTGATCCGCCCCCTCGGCTTCCCAAATTGCTGGGATTACAGGTGTGAGCCACCACGCCTGGCCAGTTTTTCATTTTTTAAGATATTATTTGGACTTCACATATTTTTATGCACTTAAATGCATGCAACAATTGTTATTTTTGATTCTTTCAAATGATACATTTTTGGTACATAGCAGGTGTACCAATCCTTTTGTGACAGGCAAAAGAAAATACTAGAAAGGTGAGGAAAGAGACTCAGCAGGTGGTGCTGGCCAGGTTCAGCACAGGACATGTCAATAACGTGTGGCAGTGACAGGAGGCCCCTTCCAGGAGCTTGGGGGAAAACACTGAACACTGCCTCTCTGTGAAAATGGATAAGGTCACTTAAGGATGAGGTCAGACCTACTGAATGTCGCTTAAAAAGACAAAATGGCTCCCAAACCAAAGTCTAGCTGTCTGCAGTAACATGCCTAAAGAAATAATGTGTCTGCAAGTATACATATGTAACAAACCTGCACGTTATGCACATGTACCCTACAACTTAAAGTATAATATAAATTTAAAAGTAATAATGATAATAATGTGTCTGTCAGAAGGAGTTTAGTAATGAAGGGAGCATGGTGGCGAAGCACGGAAGGAAGTCTCTATTTTACATGGCAGAATATTCCTATCTTGGACATCTATCCAGCCAGCCAACCAGCCAGCCAGCGCAAGGACCCAAGGCAATGAAACATTTGAGTCCAATGACAGCCCCTCTTGCTTTGATTCCATGCCCACTAGCCAACTTCCGGATAAGCTTTCTGCCTCCTGGCATATAACATTCACGGGCCAGGTTAAGAAGAATGCACAGTCATTTTTTTTCAACAAGCAAATTGGCCCAGTTGACTACATGGCTTGGCATTTTGTGAATTTAGTTATCACATGTCAGTTACCCTGAGTTACATCAATCACAAGTCAAGGGCAAGGGGACATTTCTGGGATGGCAAAGACACAGACCTAGAGCCAAGGTGACTCCCTTAAGTGACGTTCTGTGGGGCCTTCAGCAGTCTGTGCCCAGCCTTCCCCTGCAGAAACCCTACCTCACTGTGCTTCTTAGAAGCTTCTAGGCCAGGCGAGGTGGCTCACGCCTGTAATCCCAGCACTTTGGGAGGCCAAGGCGGGCAGATCACGAGGTCAGGAGTTCGAGACCAGCCTGACTAACATGGTGAAACCCCTGTGTCTACTAAAAATATAAAAAGCCGGGAGTGGTGATGGGCACCTGTAGTCCCAGCTACTTGGGAGGCTGAGGCAGGAGAATCACTTGAACCCGGGAGGCAGAGATTGCAGTGAGCCAGATTGCACTACTGCACTCCAGCCTGGGCGACAGAGCGAGACTCCCTCTCAAAAAATAAAAAGAAGCTTCTAGCCCAGTTTTAGTGAAACAAACCCTAGCACCCAGTCTCCAAACACTACTTAATTTATAGTCAGAGTTTGCCTAACTAATGTCTGTATTATTTGAATCAGAGCCGGATTTGCTGTTGATATTTGTGACATGACCAAAAAAAGGACTGGAATTTAATTTCCTTATTGCTCCTATTATGCCTAAAATTCTCACCATTGTTGTGGGTTAAGAGGATTAGTGTCTAGGAGTCCCCATGTGAAATCCAAATCCAAGTGGAAGCACAATTAAGTCAGGACTGTGTTGCTAGGTGTTTTAGAGGAACTCATTGCTAGCCTGAGGGGCGTGATGAAGGCTGCAGATGGAGACAGATACGGCTCCTGGACCTCCTCGCGGGAGTGCAGTAGAGTCACCTGAGAGTGCCCCAGGTGAGAGATCGACAGATCCTGTAGGACACACTAACGTCAGGGCAGGCATCAACAGACCCCAGTTTTAGAAAGCAAGACTGAAAATTAATTCCTACTACGTTAGGTGACCACCAGCCAAAGTGAGTTTAAAATATGAATGAAATTCAAGGTCATAGGGAATCCCCATAAGGCCACAGGCATGGGAGGGACAGCGAGATGGCCACGTGGTAGGAGCACGGGCCCAAGCATCTGGGCTACTTCCTCATGCAACTTGTTCCTTCTTGACCTGCTCGAGCCCGATCCCATGTATTCCACTGAAGATGGAGTGTGGCTGTGCACATCCAATGGATAGCTCGTGAGTCAGACAGCACCCACTCATAATGGGCAGCTCAGGCCACAGGAGGACATGGTGGCCCATGGTCGTTCAATCTCTACTAGAGCCTGGTAGCAAGGCAAAAACTGTTTCTCGGAAGGAGAGTGTTCACTGAGGATAGCATATTCTAACAATCTGAGGGTTTGCACTGTCTTCACCCGTGAAGGCCTGCCAAAGGCTCCATGCTGCTTCCTTATCATAACATCGCTGGCAGTTTCAGCCCCATCAGTTCTGCAGGGTCACCCAGGCCAAATGCAAAGCAGCTGGTACAGCTGACCTATTGCAGAAACATCTCTCACTCTGAGCCCTACTCAAAACTGGCGGCTGGAACGGCCGCTGGGTCAGTGGGCTGGAGTGGCAGGCCTAGATGAGTCACATACTGCCTCCAAGATCCCGTGAGGCCCACTCAGTGCTGTTACTCTTCCTTGGCAGTAGGAGGGACCAGTTGCCGAAACTTGTCCTTCACTTGGAAGAGATATATTGACATGCCCCAGACGACTGGACCCTTGAACATTTTTGGAGGGCTGATTTCTCAATGTCTGGCACAAGTAGCGGCTACTCCATGTATCAAGTAGTTGTTACGTCCTGCTCAGATTTCCCAACTGCATGTTTTGCTCGATATAATATACTAGTGGAAGGGAAAGGTGATCAGGGTTCCTGGTGACTACATTATGGCACAGGGCTAGAAAGCTGGTATAGCCAGACTTGGGGCAGTGAAGGTATATTATTGGCCTTACCAGGTGAAAGGAAACTGCTTCTGATGATATTTACTAAAGGTATAAAGAGGCATCTGTCAAATCAATAGCTCCATATAGATGCCAAGGAATATGTTAATTGCTCCAGTAATGAAACTACATCTGGAATAGCAGCTGCAAGTGGAGTCACCACCTGACTGAGGGACAATCCATTGTCATCCCCAAAGATACATCAGTCTATGTGCAGGCCAAATAAGTGACTTGGATGAGGATATGGTAGGAATCACCACGCTTGCATCTTTGACTACTTTGATGGTGGCACAATTTCTGCAGTCCTTCCAGAAATGTGATACTGCTTTTGGTTTTAAGATTTTTTTTTTTTTAGGTAGAGGCAGTCAGTGGCTTCCTCTGGGCCTCTCCTGCCATAATTGCCTTGTACCACAGGTCAGGGAACTAACATGTGGGTTCTCCAAGTTCCTGAGCACATCTCTTCCAGATATTATGCATTCCGAAACTGCGACACCACTGTGAGAAGAACATGAGCCAAAATGCCATTGGTCACCTGCCCTCCACAGGCTCCTACTCTGGGGAACATCGGTGGTGTTTTGCATCTCCAGGAACTGGTGCCAATTCTGAGCCAGCTTCTAGTCCTTTCACATCTGATTCTTTTGCCTTCTCCAGTGCACAGTCACACTAGAAAATGGGTGCAGTCCCCTTTAGGGAAGGCAGAGATAAAGACCAACAGAGACAGGGTCTCTCTCTGTTGCCCAAGCTGGAGTGCAGTGGCATGATCATGGCTCACTGCAGCCTTGGCCTCCCGGGCTAAGGTGATCCTCCACCTCAGCCTTCAGAGTAGCTAGGACTACTGGCACCCACCACCTCCAGCTAATTTTTACATTTTTTGTAGAGACGGGGTTATGCCGTGTTGCCCAGGCTGGTCTTGAACTCCTGAGCTCAATCGATCCACTCGGCTCAGCTTCCCCAAGTGCTGAGATTACAGGCGTGAGCCACGGCATCCAGCCAGAATCATTAGATTGTAAGCCTAATCAGATCAGACAACCAATTCCTGAAAACCCAGAATCAATTCAGAGAATTCATCTTTAAGATTCCGTTTCTCTAGGACCAGCCCGCTTCCAGTACCAAATTCTGCTGTCAGTCAGGAATGAATCAGAGAAGCAGAGCCTCTTGGAGGTAGGGGTATCGACTGGTGCACATGATGTTATTTGTCGCAGGGACTTGACCTTCTGCAGCTGTGGGAGCTGGGTAAGCCACCTGTCCAAGGCTGTCTCCAAGGGCAGGCAGAGGTGAGGGGGATGTAAGGTGAGGGGGCAGGGCCGCAGGGATAGACTGAGGCGGCAGCTCTCGAGGCACCACTGGGCCGAGTGTCCTGCAGGAGGAGCTGGCGCTGTTTGTCACTGAGCTGACCTTTACACCTGACCCAGGGCTTGGCTCAGGGAAGGTGGAGCCCTGCGGCTGCTGCCTTCCGGTACTCCCGAGGAGAGCCCACTGGCAGGTGGCAGTGTGTATGACACACATGACACCTCCTGCTTCACTTCTGCCCTCAGATCTCCCACAAGTTTGCCCTTATGACCACCCTAATGGAAACATACAAGAAAGCAAAGCCAGGAAATGTCGTTCAGCCTTGCCTAGACCACATATTCCAAAGCCACCACCACGCCTTTATTTACATACTAGGATTAGATATCACAAAGGACTTTTGGGAGCCAGATGAACAAAACCCTAAGAAAATAGACCAGTGTCTGGAGAGAGTGGAAATGACTTATTTCCTCAGAGTCCCTCCTTGCAGGGGTATCCCTGTAAGCGAGCGTATCTGTAGCTTCACAGGTGGTGCAGACTGGGCTGTGAGCCTCCAGGACTGCCTTCAGCTGAAACTCGTCAGATTCGGGAAGGCGCAGGACTGCAGGTGCTGCGTGGTGTGTCGGGTGGCCTCCTGCTGAAACGTCCTTGCTCTGATGATCCTCTGATCTACAGGGGAAGGGAAGGACTTCAGCTTTTGATGGTCTGCTCGCTAGCCCCTTTCAGAGGAAAATAATCTATCTTGGGTTTTCCAGAATCCAAATCTAAATGGTTTGTAAAGTAGAAAAACTGCAGATAGGTGGGAAGATATGTTCAGGTGTGGGCACACACACATATGCACACACACAGAGCCCCATCTGTGGTTTTATTGTCACTGCAGATTTCACAGGTCACAGCTTGGGCATAGAAAATTGCTACATGGGCCGGGTGCGGTGGCTCATGCCTGTAATCCCAGCACTTTGGGAGGCTGAGGCGGGAGGATCACCTGAGCTTGGGAGTTCAAGACCAGCCTGACCAACATAGAGAAACTCCATCTATACTAAAAATACAAAAAGTTAGCCAGGTGTGGTGATGCATGCCTGTCATCCCAGCTGCTCAGGAGGCTGAGGCAGGAGAATCGCTTGAACCCGGGCGGCGGAGGTTGCGGTGAGCCAAGATCATGTCATTGCACTCCAGGATGGGCAACAAGAGTGAAACTCCATCTAAAATAAATAAATAACTGTTACATGTTTTCCAATATTGTGGTGAAATTTTGCCTTGAGCATTCGGCCTGCCTGACAAGTGGGAAACACCAGATAGCCTTTTTCTGGTAAATGTGGCTCGTCAGGGACATTTAAGGATGAGAAGTGAAGGTTCTGCAGTGCTGGAGGATGTGAACCTCCTCCTCTCCAAAGCGGCCTCTGCATTTGCACCTGTGTCTCGGCACAGGAGGTGCTGTGGGGCGGCCTGAACTCCAGGCGACCCTCTTCTGCTGCGTCTCCCACGGGAGTCCGTGGTCCTGCCTGGTGCCCTGTTTGGCCTGCGGTGCATAGAATCAAACCCCCCGCTCTGAGGCCCCTGCAGTTCTCCCTCAGCCTCTAGGAGCCTGGGAAAAGTCAGCGTGTGGTGGGAACCCCGGGGGCTCCTTGCACCGCCCTCCTCGTGCCTGCTGTGTGGTGCCAGGGCATCTCTGGGAGGCTTAAACTCTCCCCCTCGGTAATCTAGAGAGAAGGCACGGGCCTCTTGCCCTGGTCTGTTCAGGCTGCTATAATAAAATGCCACAGATGGGATGGCTTATAACAGAAGTTTATTTCTCACAGTTCTGGAGGCTGGATGTCCAAGATGAAGGCACTGCCAAACTCCACATCTGGAGAGGGTGGTTTCCTGACTCGCAGACGACGTCTCCTCCCTGTGTCCTCACATGGCCTCTACTCTGTGCGCACCTGGAGAGAGAGCTCCCCTGTCCCCCCCTCTTCTGATGAGGTCACCAGCTCTATCAGGTAAGGGCCCTGGCCTTCGGCTTTCATTTAACTTTAATCACCTTTCTAGAGGCTCTGGCACACTGGCACACGGGGCCAGGGGCCAGCACACTCCACAATGCCTGCCCGTCCCCTTCTTGGAAGCAGGGTGCAGGGTGGGTGCAGTGTGTCTTCTGAGAGAACTTTTTTTCTCCCAGAAAAAAATTTTGTCTCCTTGAGAAACATTTTAATCTACAAATGTTGTGCTTTAATCCTTTTGGATTCTTAGCCTGTTGGAACTCAAAACCTTGTTTCTTTCTCAAAAGCTTACCTTCTTTCTAGATGTCTGGAAATGTTTCATACTTTAATGTGGGTAGGGGTTATATGAATGTTCACATATGTAAACATTAATCAAGCTACAGATTGAAGATTTTTGCACTTCACTATCCCTGTATGTTACTACTCAATAACGTATAGTTTTTTATTTGTTTGTTTGTTTTTGAGACAGAGTCTCCCTCTGTCGCCCAGGCTGGAGTGCAGTGGCGCGATCACAGCTCACTGCAACCTCCACCTCCTGGGTTCACGCCATCCTCCTGCCTCAGCCTCCTGAGTAGCTGGGACTACAGGCACCTGCCACCACGCCCAGATAATTTTTTGTATTTTTAGTAGAGATGGGGTTTCACCGTGTTAACCAGGATGGTCTCGATCTCCTGACCTCGTGATCCGCCTGCCTCGGCCTCCCACAATGCTGGGATTACAGGCGTGAGCCACCGCGCCTGGCCAATTTTTTTTTTTTTTTTTTTTTTTTTTACCCTGAGCATGTATTAATTTAAAAATAAAATCTGCAGAATTAAATAATTCTTCAAAAGATATATTTAAAGCTACATGAGCCAGGTGCAGTGCCTCAAGTCTGTAATCTTAGCACTTTGGGAAGCCAAAGCATGAGGATCTCTTGAGTCCAGGAGTTCGAGGTTGCAGTGAGCTATGACTATACCGTTGTCCTCCAGCTTGGGTGACAGAGCAAGATCTTGTTGCAAAAAATACGTAAATAAATTACATGAAAGTTGTGTTTGATGTTTGATATATTGTTAATTAAAAAGAATTTACTGGGCCAGGCACAGTAGCTCACACCTGCAATCCCAGCACTTTGGGAGACTGAGGCAGGCAGAACTCTTGAGTTCAGGAGTTCAAGATCAGCCTGGCCAACACGGTGAAACCCCGTCTCTACTAAAAATACAAAAATTAGCCAGGCGTGGTGGCACACGCCTGTAGTCCCAGCTACTTAGGAGGCTGAGGCAAGAGAATCACATGAACCTAGGAGGTGGAGGTGGCAGTGAGCCGAGATCACGCCACTGCACTCCAGCCTGGGTGACAGTGAAACTCCATCTCAAAAAGAAAAAAAGAGAGAGAGAGTTTAGTAACAGTGAGTGTAGTATGATGAACAAATTACGTGCACACACATGCACACATGCAAACAACTGGAAAGAATCACTCCAAAATATTACCCTGGGGACTGGGATGGAAATTAGTAGGGGTTTTCAGGGCTTTATCCTTTTGTTTTTACACAGGTTTACTGTTTGAAATTTTTGCAACTAGCATGTGTTACTTTTGTAAACCCCAAAGATCTAGGACAGATCTCAGTTAATTTAGGAAATTTATTTTGCCAAAGATAAGGACGTGTGCGGGTGACGCAGCCTCAGGAGTCCTGATGACATGTACTCAAGGTAGTCGGGGCACAGCTTGCTTTTATACATGTTAGGGAGACAAGAGACATCAATCAATATATGTAAGAAGTACGTTGGTTGGGAGGCTGAGGCGGGCGGATCACGAGGTCAGGAGATCGAGACCATCCTGGCCAACGCGATGAAACCCCGTGTCTACTAAAAGTACAAAAATTAGCTGGGCATGGTGGCATGTGCCTGTAATCCCAGCTACTTGGGAGGCTGAGGCAGGAGAATCGCTTGAACCCGGGAATCAGAGGTTTCAGTGAGCCAAGATTGCCACTGCACTCCAGCCTGGCAACAGAGCGAGACTCCGTCTCAAAAAAAATGAAATAAAATGAAATAAAAAGTACAGTGGTTTGGTCCACAAAGGTGGGACAACCCAAAACGGGGAGGAGGCTTCCAGGTAGATAAGAGACAAACAGTTGCGTTCTTTTGAATTTCTGATTAGCCCTTTCCGAAGGAGACAATCAGATATGCATTTATCTCAGTGGGCAGAGGGGTGACTTTGAGTTCTGTCTGTCCTTTGTCCACAAAGAAATTCCTTGTGAGGGAGGCATGTAGCTTTTTTATCTTAGTAGCTATCTTGGTGTGGGAATAGAATGGGAGGCAAGTTTGCCCCAAGCAGTTCCCGGCTTGACTTTACCCTTTGGCTTAGTGACTTTGGGGTCCCAAGATTTATTTTCCTTTTACACTTTTATAATTACAAACCCTACCTAGCAAAAATATTTTGCCTGTATAGTGATTCTGGGTTCTGAACTTTTTCTGCCATGCTACATTTCACTCATAATTTTAAGCTCAATTTCATAGGTCATCCAAACCCTTTTAGAGTCGAGGAAATTGCAACAGTGAAGCCACACATGGGGGTGTATTAAAGAATCCTACACATGGGCACAAAAGAGAACACGTGTCACTGAGGTCGGGATGCGGAATGGAGCTGCGGAGTGGCACTTCCTGGAGCTGCAGTTCAGATTTATTCCTTTAAGAACATGTATGGGGGCCGGGCGCGGTGGCTCAAGCCTGTAATCCCAGCACTTTGGGAGGCCAAGACGGGTGGATCATGAGGTCAGGAGATCGAGACCATCCTGGCTAACACGGTGAAACCCCGTCTCTACTAAAAAATACAAAAAACTAGCCGGGCGAGGTGGCGGGCTCCTATAGTCCCAGCTACTCGGGAGGCTGAGGCAGGAGAATGGCGTAAACCCGGGAGGCGGAGCTTGCAGTGAGCTGAGATCTGGCCACTGCACTCCAGCCTGGGTGACAGAGCGAGACTCCATCTCAAAAAAAAAAAAAAAAAGAACATGTATGGGGTTCTTCTTCACTTTCAGGAAAATTCAAGCTGTAGATGTTTAGAGCAGATTATTTAATGAGACTCAGCTAGGGAGTCTCATTAATGGGAGAAAGGGAGAATGGCAGTAACTCATAATGATAAAATATCATTTCACAGAAAATCATCATTTCAGAGAAATCACTTTGTGCCAGATACCAGCTGTGGAGACAGACATAGGCATTTTAAAGGAAAGCTAATGAAATGTTTAAACGATGTCCAGCAGATTTGAAAGGAAAAGACGTTCTGTATTCTGATGCCTTGCCTTAGAATTGACACTGAGGCTGTTTCCTGACATCTCATAGTTTCTCGTTTTTTTCATTCTTCTTCAGCATCTCTATCTGTATTTGTGCGTTCTGAAGCTCAGCTTAGTACATTATGCTAATATTCTGTTAATTGGGTGGTGTGACCTTGGGGCTGTGACCAAGGTGTGGTTCCTCTGCGTCTGCTTAGGGAGTCGATGTTAGATCACAGAGAAGCAGCCACACGCCACAGCCCGTCCTGTCCTCACAGGGCGCGCCGGGGACATGTGCGGGTCACACCCATGCATGTACGTGCTCAGTGCACTGTGTTACTGGAAAGAAAAATGCATGGCTCATCTGGTGTCTTCTGTTCTTTCTTCATACAATTTTTGGTAACTTATCTTTTTTTAAAAAAAGTGGTTTTAACTAGTCAAGTGAAGCAATGGGAATGGAGAAAGAACAAAAGTATCTGTTACTTGTCATCAATTAATTGTAAACACCACTGCACTCGGGCAAGCCTGTGGCTTTTTATGTATTTATGTTTTATTTATTTTTAATTATTCATTTTGAGACAGGGTCTTACTCCATCACCCAGGCGAGATTGCAGAGGCGCGATCCCGGTTCACTGCAGCCTCGACCTCTTGGGCTTAAACAGTCCTCCCACCTCAGCCTCCCAAGTAGCTGGGACCACAGGTGTGCACCACCATCCCTGGCTAATTTTTTTAAAAAATTTCTTGCAGAGGCGGGCGGGTGTCAGCCTGTAATCCCAGCACTTTGGGAGCGAGACGGGCGGATCACGGGTCAGGGATCAACATCTGGTAACAAGTGAACCTCTTTAAAAATACAAAAACTAGCGGGCGAGGTGGCCAAGCTGTAGTCCCAGCTATCAGGAGCTGAGGAGGAATGGCGACCGGGAGGGGGCTTGCAGTGACTGAGATCCGCACTGCACTCCAGCCTGGGCGACAGAGCGAGACTCCGTCTCAAAAAAAAAAAAAAAAAAAAAAAAAAAAAAAAATTTCTTGCAGAGACAAGATTTCACTATGTTTCCTAGGCTGGTCTGGAATTCCCAAACTCAGGCGATCCACTCGCTTCAGCCTCTGAAAGTGCTGGGATTACAGTCATGAGTCACTGTGCTCGGCTCAGCTTGTAGCTATTAACAAAGGCCATGACTTAATCTCTAGGCCCAGCTAAGACAGAGGAAACCGGCATGCCGAGGAAGAAAGGAGTTCTTGAGAGAGGCCGGGCGCGGCGGCTCACGCCTGTAATCCCAGCACTTTCGGAGGCCAAGGCAGGCGGATCACGAGGTCAGGAGATCAAGACCAAGGTGAAACCCCGTCTCTACTAAAAATACAAAAAATTAGCCGGGTGTGGTGGCGGGCGCCTGTAGTCCCAGCCACTCAGGAGGCTGAGGCAGGAGAATGGTGTGAACCCGGGAGGCGGAGCTTGCAGTGAGCCGAGATTGTGCCACTGCACTCCAGCCCGGGCGACAGAGTGAGACTCTGTCTCAAAAAAAAATAATAATAATAACTTCTTTTTATTTATTTACTTGTTTTTTTGGAGGCAGAGTCACTCTGTTGCCCAGGCTGGAGTGCAGTGACACAATCTTGGCTCACTGCAGCCTCTTTCTCCCGGGTTCAAGCAATTCTCATGCCTCAGCCTCCCAAGTAGCTGAGACTACAGGTGTATGCCATCATGCCTGTTATGCCCAGCTAATTTTTGTCTTTCTAGTAGCCATGTGGTTTCGAATGTCGG